AGCATTGGACTATGACCCTGGAGACCAGGATTTGAATCCCTGCTCAGCAATGGAAACACACTGGGTGATTTTGGGCAAGTCACACTCTCTCAGCCTGAGAGGACCCTCCTGAACAAATCTTGCCAAGAAAACCTCACAATAGGGTCATTTTAGGGTTGCTATTGTAGTGGACAAAACTAGAATGGAGACCCTCAGAATATCCAGGAAAATAGAGTTTAATTTTAAGTTGATGGACTCTCAGACATGTTAGCCCTGTGACTTGAGAGCCCCTGCCTCGACTAAATCAACATCCTTATATACCATCTTACACAGGTAGTTTATAATTACATCAACACATGCATAATTCAACATTTTCACTGGTTACAAGACATAATTTTAATTTCCTCCTCTCCTGATTATGTTACACTTCTACTTGCCATGCGTGAACTATTTTGACATTACTCATCAATACCTAGACTCATTGATTGGATCCAATCTTAGTTTTTCTTACTTTACTTCCAGTCCAAACCATCCATCTTACTAATTGACATCAACAGACATTCCTTTCCCTATCTCTTTGGCTCTGAAACATTCCTTGCTATCTTTTCCAGTGAAGCTGAAACTAGAAGCCTTTTATAATTGCTTTGCAAATGCACAGTTTTAAACATAGAATATGAGACCCCAAGGATCATCCAATCCAGCCCCGCATTAGTCATGAGCATTGTAGTTTCTTTTACATTATTTCATCCCCACCATAAGTCAGTTTTTTTTTTTATGACTTGGAAGCGACCTGAAGGCACACAGCAACAACAAAAGCTGCTGATTCAGCAAAGAGTTGTCTGCACTGCACAATTACACCAGTTTGACTGAATTTTTAAACTGACTTGGTTGTCTCCTACAGTAACCTAGGATTAGTAGCTTGGTGAGGAATTGAAAATTCTCTTCTAGAGAGCTGTAGTGCTGGAGTTCAGAAGAGTGCACCTGAGAATTCCAGGTATCTCAGCAAACTACAAATCCTGGTACTCCATAGGATGGAGCCATGCCAAAGTGGTATGAGCCTGCTATAAATGAATTGTGTAGCTACTCTCAGGGAGACCTTTGCAGGTTCCAGGATCCTTAAAAGAGGAAGCACCCCGTTGCTCCATTGTTTGGAATAAATTCCGATGGCTTGGTGCAGAGCAGGGCAACTATGGTCCCAAACATACTGCAGAAATAATCCAGTTTCAGATTGCTTTAACTGCCTTGGCTCAATGCTAGGGAATTCTGGGAACTGTAGTTTTGTGAGACATTTAACTTTCTCTGTCAGAGAGAGCTCTGGTGCCACAGAAAACTACAATTCCCTAGCAGGGAAGTTAAAGCCAGGGCAGTTAAAGCAGTCTCAAACTGGATTATTTCTGCAGTGTGTTTTGGACCTATATGGAGGCTAGGTCCAAATTCTTTGCCCACCCACTCCACCCCCCTGCCCCAGGGGCTGCAATGCCCTTCTCCCTTACTGTAGATAGCTCTATTCCTGGCAAGCCTAAGCATTGAGATGCAGAGTTGGAAAGGTTTAAGCAACTCATCATGACTGTGCAGTGTTGCATTTGAGAAAGGAGCCAGTGAGGTGAGGAGAGCTGGAAACAAAGGGAAGGGAGAAGCCTGTGATGGAACAAATTTTGGAACAACCTCTCCTACAACAATTCACTAGACAAGCTGCACCTGTGGAGGAGAAGGTGGACAAGTTGCCAAGGAAGATATTGACGTATGGCATGGTTATTCCATTCTACATTGCTATAACTGTCAAAACTGGTGCATTCTCAAACTATATATATATATATATATATATATTTGCCAGTTTTAAAGTATATCACTTCTGTATTATTGGCTCTACTACCTTGTCTTGAACAGATGTTGGAAACATTGCTAGCTATTCAGCATCTTTATCAATGACTTGGATGAAGGAATAGATTAAATTTGCAAATGAACTAAATTAGGAAGACAGGGTCAGAATTCAAAATGACTTTAACAGATTAGAAAGTTGGGCCAAAACTAACCAAATGAATTTCAACAGGGAGAAATGTAGGATACTCCCATCTAAAGAGTAAAAATCAAATGCACAGATATAGGATGGGGGACATCTGGCTTGACGGCAGTACAGTCAGCCCTCCAAATTTGCGGCTTTGACTTTTGCGGCTTTGATTATTCATGGATTTGATGTTCTATCTAGGAATCTCTAATAATAATAATAATAATAA